AACTGGGAGCCCCTCTGCCCACCGGGCTCCGGAGCCATGAGCAGCGCTGTGGTCCTCACCCACCTCCCAGACCCCAGCAGCAGCTTCAGGGAAGACGCCCCCCGACCCCCTGTCCCCGGGGAGGAAGGAGAAGCACCATGCCCACAACTCAGCTCGTTTCTCCCCAAAAGCCAAAGCTTCAAGGCGATGCCGGTGCCTCCTGCCCCGCGCAGGAACGAGAACGGACTCGGGGAGCCAGAAGGCAGTGCATCTCCTGACTCCCCTCTGGCCAGATGGACCAAATCCTTGCATTCCTTGTTGGGAGATCAAGATGGTGCCTACCTTTTTCGGACCTTTCTGGAAAGGGAAAAATGTGTGGATACCTTAGACTTCTGGTTTGCCTGCAATGGCTTCAGGCAGATGGACCTTAAGGATACCAAAACTTTAAGAGTAGCCAAAGCTATCTACAAAAGGTACATTGAGAACAACAGCATCGTCTCCAAGCAGCTCAAGCCTGCTACCAAGACCTACATAAGGGATAGCATCAAGAAGCAGCAGATAGATTCTATCATGTTTGATCAGGCACAGACTGAGATTCAGACTGTGATGGAGGAAAATGCTTACCAGATGTTTTTAACTTCTGATATATACCTCGAATATGTAAGGAGTGGAGGAGAGAATCCTGCTTACATGAACAGCAATGGACTGGGGAGCTTAAAAGTTGTCTGTGGCTATCTCCCGACCTTGAATGAAGAAGAGGAATGGAGCTGTGCAGACTTTAAAAACAAAATCCTGCCTTCGGTAGTTGGACTATCCAGCAAGACACTGAGGGTTACGGCGAATGTCAGAGCTACGGAAACGATCGAGAACGGGTACAGGTAAGGGAACCCCCGGAAACTGCTTTGTTCTGACTTCAAGGACTTTGAGAGTGCTTCTCGGAAGGCTGCTGGGGTGGTGTGCTGGGGAGCTGGCAGGGATTGAGAGCAGGATGGGCTTCCTGTGGGGCTGGGAGCACGGGTGCTTCCCCACACCTCCAAACAGCGGAATTTGGGGGGTGTCAGTTTGGGTTGGGTTCCCCCCCACCCCCTCTGTACAGAGGAAAGCAGTATACTGTGCTCTCAAGCCCCATTGGCTCTTTCAGTTCTCCTAAGATCAAAAACTTCAGAGCAACTATGTCCTCCGGACATACGTTAATTATTGGTTCAACTTTCAAACCTATTAAGAGCAGTAGTAGAGTAGATCATATAGACGCATGAATAATGTAACCTACTAGTTCCCCAACTCCACCATCAGCCAGTGTTTAACTATGTTGGTTATGTGGGAAGCAATTGTGTGGTCATGGAGGAGGAAATGTATGTGCTTATTACATCAAACTCTGCAACTTGCACAAAATCTGCTTTTATTTTGACCGTGTGCGTGTGATCTGCAGCCTCTCCCATCGCGTTGGGTGTTGGTATCGTGTCAGAGGCATTTAGGATGGCCCTGAGCCAATGCAGACAGGAGGATACTTAAAATTGAGTAGTGAAGGTAATAGAGACGTTCCAGGTGTAGAGTGGTAGTAGATCTTGGGTGCTCTCCTCTTGGCTGTGTGCTTGAAGCTGTTGAACTCATAAAAATGTGGTTGTGTCTAATGCCTGGATGCAAGGAGTGTTGTGTTGTGGCAGGGACCTCTTGTGCCCTTGGCTTGGGGCACATCTGGGTTGTGGAACCCTTCTGTTTTGTTAGAGATGTTGGTGGCACAGTGGTGTGAGGGTGAGGAATGTAAGAGCCATCTCGAAGTGAAGGGGGGGATGGGAAGGAGAGACTCTGATGAGCAAATGATGAGTTGTATAATCCTCTGAAAATGTATTCTTTCCTCTCCCCACCCTTGCCATAAATGTGGATTGTTGAATCAGGGCTGAGAGGAGAGGGCTCTGCTGGCAGATGTGCACTCTCCTCTGCTGGCCGAGGAGGTTGGGGTTTGGTATGGTGAGTGTTTGACATCTCGTTTACAGGAATTTTGAGAGTGTGTCTGTGATTCATGGACATCAAAGGGCATCAGGCTTCTCCTGGCAAAGCTTTGCTGGAGGAGCCCTCCCCCTGCCCTGTGGAGAGCTTCCAGCTGTGCTGGGCTTTCCAGTGCCCAGCCCTTGGGAGCTGGGAGGGTGCTGAGGAGCCAGAGGCCTCTTTGGTCCTCTCTCTCTGTGTCCTAGAGTCCCTCTCTGCCAGAGCAGGGGTGATGGGTGTGGGTGCAGACAGGAGGGCTGTGCTTCATCCTGACCTGGCCTGGACCTCTCCTGCTGGGGGGCTGCATGGTGAGGGGGGCATTTGCTGGGAGCTGGTCTGTGGAGGACTTGCATTTTGGGATCCTGATCTTGTGCCTGAATTGTTACTGTCTGAGCATCTGCTGTTCTCCAGAACTTGGTTTGAACTGCTGCCCTTCGCTTGCTTTCCAGGAGGGGGATGTTTGATGCTTTTATCTCTTGGCTTTTGTTGGTATTCAGTGCTGGAAGGGCTTGGCTGTTATGTTCTACCAGAGCTGCAGACCCTGCTGAAAACCCACATGTGCTTGTCCAGGAGAGCTCTTGCAGGCTGGTGGCTGCTTGCCTGATTAGTGCTGGAGGAAAAAAACCCTTTTTTTCTTCTCTTTTTTTGTCTGGGGATTAATGCAGCTTGCTCCTCACATGTCACATCTACCCTCCTAGGACATTAGGTGGTGCATTTTGCTTTGATCACCTTCTGTTGAATTTCCAGGAGCTTTTGCTCTCCATGGGGCCAAGAAATCTCAATGCAAAGCGAGGGAGGTCAAGCTGAGATGCTTCTCAGTTCCTCCCTGAGCGACCCATTTGTGAAGCCACTTGTGCGTGCATGTGCTAGAAGCTGATGAGCATATGGATGGGTTATCTCTCATCACTCAGCGTTTAGGATTGCGTTTAGGATTGGAGCTGAAGCTTGCACAGAGTTTCTCCTGGTGAGTGGCCAAACCACACCTCCCTCCTCGTGTGTGCAATGGAATTAAAGAATTTCTGCTCGGCGTGTTACGGTTTTGAAGCGCTGGGCAGGCTCTTGCCATTGGCTTTGGTGGGTTTCAGTGTCATTCCAGCAGGGAAAGCTCTGGGCTGAGCACACCTGACGGCAGGAGCAGAGCAATCTCTGGTCAGCTCAGGATTTGGATGGGAGATCACCTGGAAATCCCAGGTCACGGAGTCATGGCCAAAAACACAGCAACCCGGAGACCTCAGGAACTGTACAAGTTGAAAGACTTTGGCCCCAGCATCAGTGATGGACAGGAACAGGAGAAGTCGAGTGAAAACACGGTGTTTGTGCCTGCCTGCAGAACAGGCACATGCTTAGAAACTGCTGGCTGTATATTTGGAGCCCTAATACAGGGAATATTTTAAACTTAGAACCTCCCTCTTTGTCCTTCAAAGTGACTCCCCTCCCCTGTAGGTTGTGGTGTGGTTAAAACTGGCCTCCCCACTCTCTGCTGGACCTGGCCCCCTGCTCCAGGAATTCCAGCTATTATTTATACGCGCTTCTAAATTTATCAGGCACGAGTTTGTGTACACAGAGAGTGGTGCTTCCTTTGCAGTGCCGCTGCGTAGCGTGGTTTTGTTCAGTCTAAAGTGGACTCATCTGCCTCCCATTAAGCTCTAACATCAGTGGGACTGGCCTTGCTTGAGGAAGTAGGGGGCTTCAGGTGGCCTTCTGCTGGCTCCCAGTGCTTCCTGGCCTTTGAACGGATCTGCCGGTGGAGCTCCTTGAGTGTGAACTTACTGGAACCAAGTTTGGCTTCAATTATCAAAGTAAACCGTGCCATTGTAAAGCTGTGCTCCAAGCAGTGTTCTACAATTAGAGCATGCAAGCTGTGATTAACAGTTCTGTTAAAATATACTTATTTTTCAGGCTTGTGCATGAGTCTTTTTTTCCTTTGTTTTTTGTTTTCTTTTTTAACTTTAAACCCATGATTGCCCAGTGATGCTTGTCACAAGAAAATACTTAACAAATTTCAGTTTTGCCTTAAAATGCTCCTTGCAGATTTTCTGATCTTCCTGTGTGAATCTGGGGTTTGACTTGCCAGAGTGCTTTATTTCTAAGAAGCAGTTTGACAACAAAATCAAACCCCACGCTCTGAAACTGCACCCTCATAACAGGGGCTACGACCAAGAGCCCCTGAAATTCTCATGGCATTATAATGCCTCTGATATGCCCGCTGCCTAACATAGCATGTAGAGAGTTACACGCTGTGTGTCATCACATCAAGATAAGAATAGGCTGAGAAACATCAGACATTCTCCTTGAAGCTCCAGAGCAACTGCTACCTGACAGCTGAAAACACTTTGTGCAGGGGGCTTGGAGCTGGGGGGGTGTTTGTCTGCGCAGCATCTGCGGCAGGAGACCCCGCTCGCCGCTGGAATTTAAAACCCTGGCAGGGAACTTGGGGCATCTGGGTGCAATTACTGTAGGGAGGGGGTCAAATGGAAAAAAAAAAAAAAAAAGAAAAAAAAAAAGAAAAAAAAAAAGAAAAAAAAAAAGAAAAAAAAAAAGAAAAAGAAACATGGCAAAGGCAGATTTCCCCCCCCTATACTGGTTTTCCTAAAGGATGGGGGGGGATTTCTCTTGAGCAGTGTGTTGGAAATGGTGTGTGGGGGCTGGCTTAAAAAATCTGTCACTTTGGAGATCTTTCTTGTCAGTGAGGTGTTGGTGGGTGAATTGGTGCTGCTGTCCAGTACAGGTGGGAAGATGAGTTAGTTCTGGCCACTTTCTCTAATGATACATTTCCAAATGCTGTGTTTGGACACACCTCCTCTCCCTGTTTCATGTTCATACAGACCCGCTGCCTCCACCCCCACCCCAGCCTCTCCAGCAGTCATGTCTGCTGGAAGAACATGGCAAAACAGTCCTGCATGCAACCAGGGATGGCACAAACCCCTTCTGGCTTGCTGGGGGTCTTGTGCACCCCTGGGCCTTGTGGAGTATCCTGCACCTCTGAGCCTTGTGCTCCTTGGATGTGCTCTTAAGACCTCAGATAGGCTCTCAAGACCTCAGATGGTTTCAAATTAAATAGTTTTAATAGCTGCATCCCTTACACAGTCTACCCAAAAGCCCACCAAGGACCTGGGAAGTAACTCTTGGACTGCACATCCCCCTGAATCAGAGTAGAAGACAACACAAGTTTTAGAGGAACTTTTTTTGTAGCAGTAGTAGGATGACTTAGCTTTCACCCACATGTGGAATTAATTTATCTTTGAAGATTTAACTTCTTTCCTGTGGCATTCCTTACTATCTTTTTCTTTTTCTTTTTCTTTTTTTTTTTTTTTCCCTTTTCCCGATTAATAGCTGCATCCCTTACACAGTCTACCCAAAAGCCCACCAAGGACCTGGGAAGTAACTCTTGGACTGCACATCCCCCTGAATCAGAGTAGAAGACAACACAAGTTTTAGAGGAACTTTTTTTGTAGCAGTAGTAGGATGACTTAGCTTTCACCCACATGTGGAATTAATTTATCTTTGAAGATTTAACTTCTTTCCTGTGGCATTCCTTACTATCTTTTTCTTTTTCTTTTTCTTTTTTTTTTTTTTTTTCCTCTTGCCAGATTTATATTTTTTAACATCTTGATCTCCCCATCAGAAATGCCTTGGCCTCCTTTGGAAAGGAATGCAGCCCTGGCTGGGCTGAATACCTGCCTGCAGCCAGCCCCGCGCCTCTCATACCAGAGAGGCCCATCTTCCCCATCATGCTTCCCACTTTTTTTTCCCCCACTTTTTTTTTTTTTTCTTAAAAAAAAACCCAAAATCCAAACTTTATCATTTGTGGAGGCTCCTGTTTTTGGTGTTGGCAGGGCAGGAATGTGTGGCAGCAGGGGTGCCTGGTTGGTAGGGAGGGATGAGGAGTGGGGCGGTGAGGGGACATTGCTGCTCACTTAAACCCAACTGGTCCCCTCCGACGCCCGTGGGGGCAGGGAGGTGGAAAGCCCATTAAAAAAATCCTGCTGAGCCTGCTGGCACATTCCTTAGGCCCCCAAGTCCTGGGTAAGTGGCCCTAATTATTAAAATCAGCAGTCCTTATCAGATGACAAGGCCCTTTGCTTTGATATACAAAGGCCAAAGCTTAACAACCCCATCTTCCCCTGGAAGAGGAACAAAATGTGCACCTTCACATAAGCTTTCAAACCTCCCTGCATAATCCCCTTTATCACCTGCCCAAGATATGTATATTGATCTGGCTGGGAAGCTGGAGTGATAGGAGGTGGCTGGGCAGGGGGACACCCAGGTCTCCCCTCACGGTGACCCTGCCATGGTGACCCTGCCACGCTCTCTCACAGCTCATGTCACTGCTCATGAATTTTTCATGCATCTGCTCTTGTGTACTCAGGTCAAACATCAGGCTGGGCTCCGGGTTTGCTTCTCCAGGTGAAGCCAGGGGTGTTGGTATCAGTAACCCACATGCCTACTGAGAGAACCTGCTGGTCCCATCCTCACATTCCCCATCCTCCTCTTCCCCACCAACCCTATGCACAAAACCACAAGTTGAACAAGTGCTAGGTTCTCCTAAAAATGGGCCTTTTTGTTGTGTGTTTATGTAATGCCAGGAAGATGGCACCCATCTTTGTGAGTCCAAGCCTGGGACAGCAGATCCCAGCTTTGTCTATGCCTCCTCTGATGCATGGTGGTCCTGTTCCAGTAGTTTCAGGCAGTTCTCTTGTTTCAGGCATCACAGGTACTGTAACCTATATTCCCAAAAGGCCCTTAACTCCTGTCTTCAGAGTAGAATTAAACATTTATTAGCTGGTGCCTCAATGGCTTTCAGTGGGACTTGATCTATGAGCTTCATCTTTTGCCTGCTGATGCCAACAGCAAGACTCCTCCTGACCTCAGCAGTGCAGTGTCAAGCTCTAAGGACCCAGGTTTCTTAAGGTATCAAAAGTATGTAGAGGAGCTACCTGGAATTTCCTAAAGTGAGCTTGCAATGCTTGAAGCAACATCTTCAAAGTTGGACTTTGGGTGTGTTCAGACAGAGCATGTCCTGGTTGCAGCTGGCCAGGGCAGTGGGTGGTTAGTTGCTTCTGAGGAGGCTGAGCAGCCAGCATGCGTGGTTCTCACGAGGAGAGTGCTACCATGAAACTTGTCTGCCTTTCTCTAGCCCAAGACCAGCTGGTAACTCAGCTCCTGTTGTGCTTGTCCCCAGGTCCTTCAAGAGGAACGACCCCGTTAACCCGTACCATGTGAACTCTGGCTACGTTTTCGCCCCGGCCACCAGCGCCAACGACAGTGAGATATCCAGTGATGCCCTGACGGACGACTCCATGTCCATGACGGACAGCAGCGTGTGAGTACCTCCCGTTTGGGATGTGCTGTCTGGGGATGCCCCATGGGGACTTACAGCAATGATGGGCCCAGGGTCATAGCCCTGCTTCTGCTGGCCATTGACTGGGGCCTGCCCGGGCAGAGGTGTGTGCCCAGACCCAGAGGTGTGGCAGGGCTCAGGGTGGCCTGGCTCTTCATGCAGTCGCCACGGGTGTTGGATGGGGTAAAATGAATCCCTCTATTGCCATTTTGCAACTGCAGCTGAGCAAACATGTTTTCCCCTATGCTAATGGTGCTGCCTGACTAACCCAAGGAGTGTATCTCCCTGAGCCTTTGTCTTAAGGCCAGGCTTCCTTAACTAGTTATCAGTCATCAAAGAGGAGGAGATTACTTCCTGTAGGAAGTACTTTCTGTAATTAAGGTTTGTCATTGATGTCAGAATGTACATTAATAGGGCCAGTGACCTGAAGGGGCAAATAGCTGCTCGTCTAGTGTGGCTAGGGCAGTCTTCAAAGAGCCATTTGAATGGAGCTGCGTGGATCAGGCCTGGGTGTTTCAGGAGTGTAGGGATGAGAGATGATGCTGGGGCTGAGCTCAGGAATTGTAGAATCTGTCTTTTCCTCCTGACTCAGCTGAGAAGTGTGCAACTGGGACCAAGTTGTTTGACCATTCCTCCTCGGTTTGCTTTCCCCAGCAGGAGAGAAATGGTGCTTTTGTGTCTGTAGAGGAGACAGTGAGACTCACTTAGTGCTCTTAGGGACCATTTTTTTCAACTGTGCAGAAGGCAGACATTCCTGTTTGTGTTTCATGAGTTTCACTGAAGTGCAAGTGCTCTAGAAAAGCCCACCTGTAAACAGAGTGCTGCATTCCTGGTCTTCATCTCATAGGTGAAACTTCTCCAGTGTCTCTGTCAGACATGTCCAGTACTTACTGTGTGCTCCTCAGAGAGGTTTGCTTGCTGGGTTTTTAAAGTCCATGTGCGTGATGATGCACAATGGAAAACAGGATTTACCAAAAATCCTTGATGCGTAAACAAAAGCTTTTTTTTTTAATGCACATGTGTGTTTTGAACTGATATTATGGAAAAAAATAGTTTGTTGTCCCACCAGATTCCCTTATTGAACAATATTGGCATTAAATAAAAGAGCTGAATCATAGGGTGACTTCTTTATTTCTTCTTACTGGCTCTGGTTGTATGTGATCATGTGTCAACAGAGCATTCATTGGGTTAGTCATTTCTGGACCAGTGTAGGGTCACTTGGGATTCACAGGGCTAGGATTATACCCTCTCTTCACAGCAATGCCAATTGTAGGCCTTATACAGATGAGAGCACTGAGTGAGAAATAAAGTGCATGGTGGATGAAAGGCTTAACTGAATCGCTTTCAGCCCATTGTTAGTCCAGGGGAGCTTAGCGGGGATGAGAGGGCAGCAGCCCGCTTTGAAATTGGCTTGAACAAGTGAATAGGAGCTCCCCAGAAAGCAGCGCGTGAAAGGAGTCTGCCTGTTTTTTCCTGCTGTAACAATAGCCCGGGCAGGCTGTGAGAGTTTGGGGAAGCTTGGCTGATTAAACTGCCCGCAGCTCCAGGTTGGGGGGCGGTGGGACTGGGGGGAGCGGGATGGTGGAGCTGGGAGGAATATTTCCTGCTGCAGAACTGGTCCCCCCCGGGCATCCCCGGAGCCACGCTCTGTCCGTGGGGCCACGCTGGGATGTTGGGTGTTTTTTTGGAAGTGGGAGAGGTAAATTGGCAGTTTGGAAGGCTGGGCTTAAAGTTAAGGCTGATGTGAAACTTCCTTTGCGTTGCTGGTGCCAGGATTGCAGTGGGAGGTGTGGGATTCACAGCTTTGCCTGGCATCTGGCTCTGCTGGTCCCTGAAGGGGCTGGAAGGGGCTTGGGGCACAAGCCCACCACCCTCTCACAGGCTGCTCTTCTGCCTGCGAGGTTTTAACCCCCCTTTAACAAACAGAGGACCTGGGTTTATTCTGTTTTGTCAGTGCGAATGCAAATGAGTCCTTTTGGCTGATATTGGTATCAACTGAAGAGGAAAAACTTGTTCTGGAAAAGTCTGTCAAACATAGCAGTAAAGGAAGGGTTGTTTTTTAAAGATAGATCTAAATCTGAACTGTGCTGGAATGAGGAGAGGTCCCCAAATAATGCCTATTTTGCTTCTTTTTTTGTAACTACAGATGCCAGGGATCAGCCTGTGTGTATAAATGTTATAATGGCCACAAAGCATCATGCAAATTTATATTTCCATTTCTTGATTGGGGGGGGGGGGGAGAGAGGAAAGGGGATTTTATTTTTTTTATTTGCTTATATCTTATTTATGGATTTACTTTGGACACAGGGGAATGCTGCTGAGCAAACTTCAAATATTACCTTATCTTACAAACCAGGCTTTTGATGTTGGCAAGATCAGAGGCTTGTTTCAGAGCCGCTGCCAAATGAAGATGGGAGTGAATGCATATGCGCATGAATCTGATATTTCAAAGCAGCAGTAAAACTACATTCAGGTTAGGTCAGGCACATCTGAGTCAAAAGGCTAAGATAATTGGCTCAGCTTAAATGGCAGCTGACTGGGTAGAAGACTTCAAACTAGTGTTTCCCCCAGAAACAGATTGGCTTAGCCCCAGCCTGGTTAGCTGAAATGTTTATAATTAAACTCTACTATTTAGTGCCTAAACTCTGTAGCTCTTCAGCCTGCAGCTTTCAGTAGCCAAAAAAGTGAGTGTAAGTGTTTGCTGCTGGAACAAGGGGAGAGGTGGCACCTGGAGAGCTGGGACTAACCTTGTCCTGCCCCAAAACCTCTGGCCAAGCTCAGCCTTTTCATTGCAAAGGCACTTTGGTCTGTTTCAGCACCAGGATTCCCCCCACTCCCCTTATCTCTTGCTGCACTGGGCCTGGCTCCAGCTCCATCCATCTGTCCCTCCTGCAGAGGGGATCACCCATTGGTCACCACCAGCCCTGGTGGTGTCTGTTTTCCCTCCTTTTCTATGGAAGGCCTAGGTTTAGACAACACTCATCAAAGTGGCTGTAAAAGTCCCTCCCCATTCCCCAGGCTGACTTTCCCAAGTTGCTCCACAGCCTTCCCATCCCAGTGAAATGCCTCTTTTTTTTTTTTTTTAAATCTGTATCTTTTTTATTATTATTTTTTTAAATTCTACACGTTGATACAAGTTGTAAAGCACTCCTGACAAGACAGGGCTGTAAATCAGGGAGCAGGAGGTTTGATGTGGGGCTCTGCAGTGCAACCAGAATTGTTTCAGGAGGAAGTAGCAGCTTTTGTACCCACCTGAGCAAGGGCAAATCTGAAATGAGGTGAGGAGCTGCACTTTTGGGTCCCCACTCCTGCTCCAGAGCCTGTCCAAGGATTGTCCCTTTGAGCAGAGATGGTCCCCTGAGCCTGGGGGCACCCCAAGAGCAGAGGTGCCCCCAGCTCGATGGCCACAGCAGAGGGGCTGGGGATGGCATCTCGTGCTTGCAGACCTAGAGAGAGGTGGGGAGCACAGGAGAGCTGTGGGGCTCCCTGTTGGCCCTTGGTGGTGTTCTTGGGTGCCTGATGTTGAACACATCTTCATCTGCTTCTCTGCTATTCTGCATCTGGCCTTTTGGACTGCCACTTACAGGGGTCATCTCCTCTTTCATTGACTATGTTAATGGGATTAGTCCCATGGGTGTGTATTCACACGTGTAACGTGCCCATGCTGGTGTTTTTACTTACTTTTAAATTTCCCTATGTTGAAGGTCTTCTGTAAAAGACCCTCATCTCAGTAAGCCTCAGTGAACTAATGCTTCTCTGAAGGTACAGATGGTTTGGTTTTCACCTTAGATTTGCTTTTCCCACATCCTTCCCCAAAGCTTAAGGCATGTCATGTGTCCTAAGCCCTGTTGCCCTGTGGGTTTGTGGAGCAGAAATACTTGGTGGCTACCAGTGGCTGCAGTTGGTGGCCATGGCCAGCTGTGATGGCAGGTGTGTGCTGGAGCCTTGTGTTGTGCAATGGGGACATCAGGACATGTAGCTACTTTCACTTGTAATGTAACGTGTGTGAGGAGATTGATGTTTGTCTTGTGTCACTGAGGACTTTCTCTGCCGTCCTGGCATTCTCTCTTTTCTGATAATGGCTTTTCCAAGTTTATTAAGTGGAAATTGTTCTGATCTTTCACTCCAGGCTTTGCAGCCTAATCTTGCTCATTAAAACAATTTAGTGGCAACTGGACAGTTTGGCCAAGGTCTTCACAAAGGCCTGTGATAGTGTGCTTTGAACCTGGAACGTGGAGCGATGGCATCCAGCCATCCTCCTCAGGAGAAGGGGCTTGGAAGCCATTCCCTTGTGCCTTGTCTCCATGTCCAGAACATGTTGGTGTGTTCCCCCCAGCACCACAGGAGGTGGCACACGGGGACACTGTGTCGTGTTGGCTCCTCTGGCAGCAGCGTGGGGCCCCTCTGTCTGCTCTGCCGCCGCTGCTCTCCTTGGGCAGGAGCTATTTTCTGCACTCAGGAGATGAGTCAGGTGTGGGGGCAGGTGGATGAAAGGGACGGGACCGGAGATCAAGGTTATTCAGCCAGTCTGAGGGAAGGGGTGGAATTAGACATTCAGGATCTCCAGGCATGCTCTTCCAGCTGTCCCCACTGTCTGTAGAAGGCCCTTTAATCCTAACTGAGGTAATTTTTTTGTGTGGCCAGATGAAAACACCCCATGTTGCCTCAAGCTGGCTGTGCAGGGGGCTGTTCCCACCGGGGCACCTTGCCTGGTCTCCTCTCATGGCTTCATGGCTGTGATCCACCAGGGCCGAGGGGAGCAATGTTGTTCCCTGAGGATACAGCCTGGCTTTGCTTATGCCTTGTGGTGGCTTGTCTGTGCCTGCCTCAGGGCAGGAGAAACATCTTGGATCTGAAGTGGGGCTGGAGATGAGGAGCAGCCTTTTGGTAGCCATCCATCTTCAGCCTTTTCCTTCTTCTTTCCACAGTGCCAACACTCCATGGGGTGTTTCACAGCTTGAGGAAAGTTGTGGTCCCAGAGAGTGTAATTTGCTTGTGAAAAAGCAACAAAAACAAAGGGCAGGAGCAGAAACCTAACACTGGAAGGGCTTTTCTCTAAGAATTTGCAGAAGTGAAGCTGATAGGATCTTTGGGTGTCTTCCCATGCAGAGTTGCCTTCAGCTTGCTTTCCAGCTTTTGCTTAATTACTGCACATCCACATGGATGGTGACACGGGCCCTTCCCAAGCCACCAGATGTTTGAGGCTTCTCCGGGCTTCAGGTGACATCCAGAGGGCTCAGCACCCCTGGAAATGTTGGCCTGCTCATGTCTGAGTGATTTCAGAGGTGATGGAGGAGCATGGGGAGAGCTCTGGCTGATGGTGACCTCTCTTCCATGTGCAGAGATGGGATCCCCCCGTACAGAATTGGGAGCAAGAAGCAGCTCCAGCGCGAGATGCATCGGAGCGTCAAGGCCAATGGTCAAGTTTCTCTACCTCATTTTCCGGTAAGTTGAGGCGGGAGCTGCAGGGTCTGGGTTGTCCGTGGGAAGTGCTGAGACTGGGAATGGGCACACGTGAAGGGAAGGGAGCAGAGGAGGAGAGCATTTCCATCCCTTTGTGATGCCAGAGAGGAGAAGCTACTCGGTGTTGAGCTGTGTGGTCTCAGCATCCTTGCGAAAACTTGCTTATGCACAGTCACGTTTGGTCTGTCCCTGAAAACCAGGTGCTAGTTGGGACTTTTCCATAGCACTGAATTTGTCCTCCTGGTCCACATCCAAGCAGAGACGCCCTGGTTGGGTCTAGTGAGAGCCTTGGCTCTGTCCACCACCCTGACACCTCCACTGGTGCCGAGCAGACCAGGGCTTGGCCTTGTGCGTGTCGCCGGGGGCCTTGGGGAGCGCAGGGTCTGTCAGCTGGTGGGAAGCAGGATCTCCACAAGAGAGATGTTTGCAGCAGATCCGTGCCTTGCTCTGAGGGGATCTGATCTGTGGTGGTGCCGTGCTCTGAAATGAACTCCCTGACTTGCTAATTCGGTTGACTTGTAGACTCCTGATTCCTGCAGTGAATAAACTGTTTACACAGACAAATATAAACTTATCTTGTCTTGAGATTAATATGCTAGAATTCCTCTTTCTGCTGTCTTAAGCAGCAAGAAATCATAGATTGTATTTCTGGTGGGCGGAGGGGGGGAGTTGGTTTATGTGTTTTTTTCTTTTTGGTATTTTTTTTTCCCCTTCCTCCATAAAGAAAGTTCTATAGCCTGAGCTTGTAAATTAGATTATTTTGTCCCAGGGCGTGCAAATCGACTTTCTCTGTAAGGCAGTGCTTTGATCAGGGACTGAATAGAGCCAGCTTGTGTAAGAGTGACAATTTCCAGCAGAGTGGCCTTTTTCTACCCTCACATCATTTCTGGAGCTAAGTGGTTGCCGGAGAGAGGCCCCACCTCATCTGGTGGGTAGTATGTGAAAGAGTTGGCAGTTCAGCTTTCTGCTTTGGGGGGGGGGAGAAGAGAGGGAGAGTGGGGGTGAGGAGTGGGGTGTGTGGGGGCTGCAGCAAGGAGGGCAGAGTTGGGTGGGTGGTTTCTTTTTCCTCTTTTTTTTTTTTTTTTTTTTTTTTTCCCCACTTGATTTGGAGATGTTCCCTTTTTCCCTTGATAGATCTGCTTGAGGCAGCCAAGCTCAGCAGTGTAGCACCGCTAGCCTGCAGCAGCTTTCTTCATTTTCTGTACAAAGAGATGGGTTGGGGGGGGGGAAGAGATCTAGGACACTGTTGAGACAACACTACCTCAAAGGTGCCCAGTGTGTAGCCAGGAAATAAATTACCAGCACTTCTCTGATCTGCAACCGTTTGACTTCTTTTTTCTTTTTTTTCTTTTTTTTTTCTTCTTTTTTTTCTCCTTTCCCTTTTTCTCCCCCATCTTATTTTTTTTAATTTCCAACTCCTTTCTGTTTATACTCACTTTATTCCTTGAGTTAAAGTCTCTCCCTCCCACCTCAGAGGTTTTTTTTTGTGTGTGTGTGTGTTGGGTTTTTTTTTGGTTGTTTTTTTTTTGATGTTTGACAACAGTCTTTGAAGATTTTCTACTTCAGAGTAGCTACTGATGGGCTGGTTGTACTACAGAGAGAACAAGCGGGGTTCCTCAGAGTGCGACCAACTGCTCCTGCCGAAGGCAAACGCTGGTGGGGAGGATGTCACTCCATGAGGCCACAGCACTAGCTCATAAAAATCCAGAGCAGACCATGCCTAGTTGCGGTCGTCTTTTCATCCAAACATGGAGACACAACAAGCGTAGCGGGGCCGGCGATGCCGACTCGGGCTAAGCACCCGCGCCCCGTGCCCAGCTAAACATGCCTTGTGCCTTCTGTCCCTGCTCCCTGTAGAGGACCCACCGTCTTCCCAAGGAGATGACCCCGGTGGAGCCGGCCGCCTTCGCCGCGGAGCTCATTTCCCGGCTGGAGAAGCTGAAGCAGGAGCAGGAAACCATGGACAGTCTGGAGGAGAGGCTGCAGCAAATCAAGGAGGTAGTAGGAGGATTAACCCTGCTGGGGATGGGGGAAGCTCACTGCTTGCTGCCTGTCTGGGGGGGTGGGAAGGGGCTGTTCCCTGCCCATGGGGG